CTATTGCGTAGAGACAAAGTTGATTGGTGGGTTGTTATAAAAAGTAAGTCTGTGGGAAAATTTGAAATTGACAATGTCTTAGATGTGGCGTATCAAAATGATGTTGCAATTGTTCATCAACAAGTTGATATTGAATTGGAAACCACACTACAACATCCTCAACACATATTAGAAGAAGTATCTGATGATGAGATACTGAATGGTTGAGGAAGAAATATTCGAGAATGAGGAAAATGAATTATTTGATGACAAAGAATGGTAAAATAATGAAAATGAAACAATTGAGGAGGAAGAATGAGAGAATGATGGAATTGAAACAAGCGAGGAGGAATAGTAGTAGAATGAAAGTTAGTATATGTAAGTTAATTTATTTTGCTAATTTTATTTAATTTATGATTTTTATATATTATACATGTAAATTTGCATACAGATGTCATCAGACGGTGACGGTGATAGACATTACGAGCATCTTGGAGTTAGCCAGACTATAAAAAGAAGAAGTCTAGGAAACCCATAGATCCTGAGGATATTCTAAGATCTATTTCTTCTGCGCCAGAGCACATCAGTCATGATACTCATTTATTTGTTGTTCCGTTTGGTACGGCGGATCCTCGGCAATATTATCCTAATTACCGTCGACCAGTCGGTGCTTCATCTACTTCACAGGCATTGCCTCCACGGCGCTACAAGGACCTACCTTTACAGGCTATTCGTCGACCACGACCCTTATCGGCAAATAGGATATCGGATGGTACTCCATCTCCCACAGGTACATCTCCTCAGTTATCTACCATGAGGATTAGAGATTCTAGTAGCGAGCAGTCAGATGCTATGACCGGTACACCTCCATTGACTCAGCGTTTGTGCATTCTAGTGTATTAACTTCATCTATAGCTGCACCTAGTGCTACACTAGATGTTGAGATGCCTGCTCTAGCTCTTAGTCAGAAGGACAGACTTGGTAGAGTCATGATTGAGCCGGATGGATCATCGTAAGTTTGTTTTGTTATCTATTTGCTAGTTTATTTTATTTATTTCTTATACTTTAATATATTATTCATGAACTAATATATTTATTATGTGTTTTATAGGTGGCATTTTGCAAAGAATGCTACCCGGGATTTAAAAGATTGTGTTAGAAGACTTTATACACAGGCTTATCACTCTTGGACCGAGATTCCAAACAGTATACGCCAGACGATGTTTAATTAATGAATTTAAGGTATATATATTTTAGTTAATTTAATAATTTTAGTATACTTTACATTTTTTTTACTATCGATCTAATTAACGCTATTCAATTTTTTTCAGACTCTGTGTACTTGGGGGTCGAGGTACAATTTGGTCATTGCGATCACATTTGAGAGGAGGGCATCCGCGAGACTGTCTAGCTGGATAAAGAAAGTTTGGGATACTGATCAACGTCCGGGTTGGATGTTGCCTCATGTTTTTGATGAATTGGATCAGTATTGGAACACAGACAAGTTTAAGGCAATATCAGATCAAGCCAAAATGGCTAGAGGCAGTCTTAAAGGTGGCTCGTTGCACACCGGAGGTGCAAAGACGGTTGGAACAATTGCACGAGAGATGGTAAGTTCTAATTCAAACTTTAAATAAATAATTACTTGATTCATATAAATCGTTATAAATTTCAGTTTTTATTTATAGGAAAAAGAATTGGGACGCACTCCCATTGAACCAGAGGTTTTCAAAAAGACTCATGTCAGGAAGAAAGAAAATGAGTCGGATCCGGATGTGTGGGTGGAGGAAAGGACCGAACGAACTTTTATAAGTTATTTAATATGAATAATATATATTAATAGTGAATATATTTATGATATGTATATATATTGATGTCAATTTTTATATTTAATATGCAGAATGAGTTTCATCAGTACGTCGTTAAGAATCTAGATAGTTCGGTCCAAATGACACATAAACTGTCCACGCTCAAATAGCACAGCTTACATCGGCACTGACAGAGTCGAAGCGGAGAAGAGTAGCTGAACAACAAAGCATGAGTGCGACCGTTCAGGAAATCAAAAAACAAGTGTTGAACTTCGCTCGTTGACCTACTACATCTTCTCCTGCCGAGGACACCGACGACGACAGTGACGAGGATGATGATTTTGTAGATCGCACTCCTTAGTTTAGGTCTCTTTTATGAACTTTTTGAAACTAATTTTGAATAACTTTATAAGTTTTTGTAATGTGATTTAGATATTTTTGAAGATTGATTTAAGTTTGATGTTTTATATGTTGTGTGATGTTTAGATTATATTGTTTGATTGGGCAAATGAATATGTATTGAATTGAATTGATAAAAAAATTGCAGAAAAAAGCGATGGACAGGGTGATTTTGTCCGTCACTTTTTTGCATTATTCTTTTCAAATAAACCCAGAATAGCGACGGACAGGGTCCTTTAGTCCGTCGCTTTTCTGGGTATTTTTAAAAAATAATTTCCAGAAAAGCGACGAACAATGTCCTTTAGTCCGTCACTTTTCTGGGATTTTTAAAATATTAATTTCCAGAAAAGCGACGGACTGCCTCGCTTATTGAAAATAAAAAATAAATGAAAATATAAAAGAAGTGACGGACTCCGTCGCTTTTGTTTTAAAAAAAATTTGAAAAAAAAATCAAAAAGCGATGAACATAATTGCGTCGCTTTTCCATCGATTTTGACAAAAAAAGTGATGCAGTCCGTCGCTTTTTGACAGTTTTTTAGTAGTGATTTTTGATGATTTAGTGAGGAAGATCTACGAGGGATAAGGAAGAAAGATAGAGGATGAGGAGATGAACTTGGGATAAGAGATTGAAGATGAAGGAAGAGAGAATATGATAGAGGTGATGGAGAACGTGGGGTGGGGGTGGGGCCGGGGAGATATACGGTTCGTTGGAGAATTGGTATGATGTGAGACAAAATAAAATATGAATTGTTAATATCCCATTAATTAAGGAGATTAGAGTAAAAGATAATTATTCAATACCATATTTATATTTAGGGAATTTGTGTATCTGATCATTTAACTTTTTAAAATATATTGTATAATTATTAAAAAGTGGTATTATGTATTATTTTTTTCAACTAAAGGTAAAATAAGTATATATGGTAGTGAAGTATGTGCTATGTAGTTTTTCCATAATTATTTTTGTTGAAATTTTTTTATCACATGTATAAAAGAGTTAGAAATTTGTTCCATCACGTTGTTTTCATTTTTTTTATGTGAGAAATACCTAGAGATACAATAAGTGCAACCCTTACCCCACAATTTTTCTCCCATTTAGCCATGGTTCTCGCGTGAATTCTTTCTTTTAATTTATATATTTCAATTATTTACTTAGTGTTCATCTTTTATACTTATTAATTAGGTTAATCTATTACAAATCTTGTTAATTTGGTCAATTCAACTCACATGTCCTGAAGTTACATAGTATATAAATTTAACTTTACTATTTAAAAGGTAAACACTAACCTTATGGTAATAAATTTGAATTGTATATATTTCAAGAGATTTTATGACCTGTGTTTAGAGGTAAACGAGGATTATGAATAGGTATATTAAAATCAAGTGAAATATACCCCACTAATTCAGTATTTAAGAAAGAAATTGCACAAGTAACATGAATCTTTCCTAGCTTTTTCGTTTTTGTTTTCAGATAAGTTAGTATGACAAGTAGATAATCCAATTTTTATTATGTTCGAGCTAAACTAATTGTGTACAATAATTCTTTAAGTAATGTTTTGAGCTAAAAGAATTTGTGTATATGTTGCCAACTTGCGGTTTAACCAATAACAATAATCTTTTTTTTTTATTATTATATAAGCGAGAGTTGAGTCGACCTGTCAGCTTCAGTCTCAACTTTCTATTTTGAAAAAAATGTTTTTTCTATTTTAATTTAATGAGTGTATAGTTTTTTAAATTATGTGATTCATTTTAGTTGTGTTTATAATTTTAAATTCATATATTTTAGTTATAGCTTTATTACTTTGAATGTTGCTGATATTTTTGTAAATTTTTGCAACTTCTTAGAGTAAAAAAACACAGTTGATAAAAAAAATACTTCAGTTATGAATTTCCTAATGAGCCCATTCACATTAGAGTTTTGAGAAAAAAAGAATGAGATGATTTTGCAACTACATGTATATAATTTATCATAGAACAAAATAATTATAGTAATATTATTTTATATTTGATGAGATGATTTACTATCATACAAATATATATAACGTATTTTAGATTAAAATAATTAAATTACTTTTGAAAAAATATGATAAATATTGAGCTCGTACATTGCACGATTTCTCTTACTAGTAAATACTCTCCTTGTCTCTAATTACTTATTCACTTTTAAATTGAAACACCTATTAAGAAAATAATGATTGACATAGTGAGTTTATCATTTTACCCATATTAATTATGAAGTGGATGAATTAAAAACTTAAGAGTTTCAAGAAGTTCAACATTTTTCAAAGTAATTAATTGAGGGTAAAGTAGATATAAAAAAATTGTCCTTTATTGATTTTTCAAAATGAACAAATAATTAGGGACAACTAAAAAAATGAAAAGTAAACAAGTAATTAGAGACAAAGGGTGCAATAATATAATAAGCTGATGTACTAAAAGGAGATATAAGGAATTATTTTCTTAAAAAGAAAGTAAAAACAAATGAGATTGTCTTGGGATGCGCGCATTTTCGAAGTCATTAAAGTCGAAGAGGAAGAACAAATAAATATCTTCGTCATTTTGTTTCTTCTTAAAACAAGGCAAAGAAAAAGTAGCTTTATTTTAGTTCAACATGTCATAAAATGTTTATAATTATTTATTAAAGGTAATAACCAATACTAAATTTATTACATTTTAATTTAATTATTGACTTAATGATATGGAACAATATTGTAAGCGCCAAATTGAAGGAAAAAATATATTTCAGGAGTACTAAACTATATATCTCTTATATATAAAATCATAAAACATTGTCATTTGTGATATGGCAAGTGCTTTTAACGAAAAAGTTATGACTTCAATTCAACATTTAATATACAACATTTTCCCTTACAACTTTCCAAATTACAACATTTTGAAACAAATCACAAATTAAAGATAAAAACTTAATTACAACACACTGGACCAAAACACACATTCAAATGATCAACTCCTTCCATTTTTTTCCTTACATATCTCTAACCTCGAATTCATTGCGATTCTTGACGACGATATCAAACATGTGCATGGATTTGAACCTGTTGAAATCTTTTGGTAGAGAAATAAGATGAACAGTTGATCTTTTGTGGTATTGAAGAAGTTCAGGTTCATCATAATACCTCTCCCATCCAAGAGAGTACAATTTCCTTTCAAGTACTGCATATGATGTGATCACTTCATCACTAGGAAGATGTACAAGAACTTTTCGGAGTCCGTTCGCCCCGTGGCAATCGGAGTTCTCCACTAGACGGACAACACCATTCTTGAATACCCAAACTCCAGACATGATGTTTAAGTAATTTGAAGATGTTTTTTGTAGAGGAAAGGTGAATGAGAATGTTTTTGTTTATGTTTGTAGTTTGTGATGAGATGGTTTGAAAGGAAGAGGGTGTGAGGGGTTTATATAGACAGTTTTGGATGCTTACAATTATGTTTGAGAGGGAGTTGTGTGTGTTTGATGGAGGTGTTAAAGTAGATAGTGGGGTAGTCTCCCCTGTTTCTGGCATCTTTAGGATTTCGAGATTCAAATCACTTTTTCTTTTATCACAATATATATGTCTTGTAATTTTTATGCAGTTTTTAAATATGTAAATTTTATTTCAAAGAGATTTTGTGTCTGAATACACGATCAAAATCAAAAAGTTTAATTCTTGAAAAACGAATTATACTGCATAAATTGAAACAAAGGAAATAACTTAAAAGGTTAATTATTAGTTTATTACCACTTAAATTTGTTGATAATGAAGAAAATTATTTATGTTTTGAATGTATATATATATATATATATCAAAATTGTGTAGCAAGGTGAAAAGTTTTGAGGGGTATTTTACAACTAATGTACGAGAAGATTGTAGGAGAAACATATTCTTGTACCCTTAAAGAATATAATATACTCTTGTTACTATTATCAAAGTGGACGAATATGACATTTTGTTTACATATATAAGTGAAAAAATTCCCAACTTTATAAGGACGCTGTTCATGAAATCGAAAAATAAAAATTAAAAAATTTACAATCAAAGGAAATAAGATGATTGGAGTAAAAGTATAAAAAAAAAATATTTATTGATTATTGAACATGCAAGTAGAAAATTGACACGTGTTTGAGAACATTTTGAGTTCTTGGAATTTTGTGTATACTTCTAATTACATGAACCAAAGAGAGAAAAAGGAGGTTGTAGTGGAATAATAGGATTGAGAAGAATCCATTTTTACTTTATCAATCCAAATCTTTAACCCCACATAGGGAATCTAAGGATCAAAGGAAATTGCATGCTAATTACCCATTTATATGTAATGCATGGGTTTAAAATATTCGTATCAAAGGTCATTACTAATTAACCAATTTTGTTTTTGTACACTACTAGTGTAAATACGTTTTTATACTACTCATTTCGTTTAAATTTGTTTTTCCTATATTGATTTACTACGGAGTTTAGAAGATAAAAGAAGATTTATAAATCTTGTAATGTAAATTAAAGGTATGACAGATGTAACAAAATGCTCTTTAATTTTTTATCGTTGTGTGGAAAATTATAATTAAAGAGTTCTTCTTTTTTAAACGGACTTATTAAAAAAAGAGATAGAATAAACAAATTGAAACAAAGAAAATACTAATTAGGTCTCCAATAACATCTACCTACAAACTTTCTTAAAACGTGAAATTTGAAATTTTGAAAATAAAATAGGTACCTATTAGTCTATTACAATAGGCAAAGATAACATGATGGTGTAAAAAGTAAATTATATATTATTTGGAAGATCAAAACCCAAAAACAAGAAGCTAATGAATAATGTATAAACTTTCACTTTCACATATATTTTAATTAAAATGTAATTAATATTACTAGTACTTTCCCTTTGGGACATCGAGAAGATTAGCATGGCCTCTGTGCAAGGATATTGACACACAAATCGAGAAATGGTCCAAATTAATATTATCAGTACTTAAAATACATAATATTTATTAATTATTTAGAAAAATGGAGTCTTCAATATGACATATGTGTTAAAACTAGATAAGTTTCCAGATTTTGTGGTGGGGATAGACCAGAAAAGGAGAGGACAATGGAAAATGAATTAGATTATTTTTTTTAAAAAAAAAAAGAATAAAAAAAGGGTAGAAAATTTAAACTCCATCCTATTGATGTTCACCTAACTTTAAACTCCGTTGACTATTATTCTGTTCAAATATATCTAATGTTCTTTGCAAAAATATATTTTTGCTCTAAGTTAGAAAGCTTGGTGTTCTTGCCATTATAGATAATAATATTGACTTAAAATTTCTCTTAATCACTAACATATCATATTGCATACGAAAAAGATCGAGAATTTCTCTTGTAATTTGTTAAACGCTTAAAATTTTTACTCTTGTGAGTTGTGGTATACGAAAGGTCTAACTTTATCCTTCGCTTTCTCTTTAATCATATAATCTTTGATAATGTGATAATACATCTAAGAAATTATTCCACCAACATACTACCAGTAATTCGACCATCAACCACAATTTCTATTTCATCGTTCCTTAACTAAGTTAAAATCAGACAAACAAAATAAATGAAGAATATTCCCGATGAATACCTACATGTTTATATAATCACAAGGAAACAACAACGGAAAGAGATGCAAAAGATGTACCACGATGATCAAATATGACATACATTTTCCATTTAATGTATTTTAGCTTCTTTAAATTTAAAAATAATAATCATCCGTACTATATATATATGTCGTAATTCTTGTGAAATACAGATTGATTTTAGTTTCATGTATTGTGGCAATAAAGGTTATCAAAATAAATATATGATTTGGCTGAACCTTTTTTTGTATTATCATATGAAAGAATCTGACTGTTTTTTTTTAAAAAAAAAAAACAGAAGAGAATATTTCAAGTTAAGGAGAACAAAATGTCATAATCTGCCGCCCCCCCACATAATCTGCCGCCCCCCCACACACACACTCCATATAAATATAATATTAACCTTTTCTTATTTAACCATCAAATATTCAACGGTGGGGAAGGGAAATGGAGAGGAGATTACAATGTGGGGAATCGAACCCTCACCAACAAGGTGGGTGTTCAGGTAACCAACCAACTAAGCTACTAAGATTTTCCTTCACGATATATAATGGATATCCACTATGGGAAATAAAATGGTTTCTCCAAGGGAGTCATATATTTTTAAGTCTTGAATTCAAAATTCTTAACTAGGGATGTTGAGAATATAATCAACTAATAAAAGTGTGTTCTCTCTAAATAAACTTTAAGATGAGATGGTCATTATACAGTTCAATATGGTATCAGAGCTAGTAAAGGTCCAGGGATCGAATCTCACTGACCCGTATCAAAAAGAATTTCCATATGTTTGGCCCATGAAAAAAGAATCAGACCCGCACGTGAGGAGTCTTTTAGATGAGAATGGTCACATACTTCAACAATGAATAGAGGAATCTCAACCATATGACAATTTGTATTAATAAGTTGATTAGCAAGGATTATGTAGATATCACTAGAGTCAGATCCCAAGTTTGAATTCTATTATAATTGTTTTGTTTGTTCTCTTCTAAAACCAAAAGATAGTTGAAATAAGATATGCAATTTCTACATTAATGATTAATAGACACTACATGTAATTAGTATGTCTAAAGAATTTTTTATTTTTATTTTTAAAAGTGAAATCTAGTATACAATGTATGTAAACAAGTAACAAGATGAGAAAGAGGACGATCTTGAAAAGAAAATAAAGCTATTGCAAGATTCGTGGCTTTTATAATTTATAGGCTAGAAATGTATATTTCTTGTTTGCTGTAGTGCTTTTGGACATACAAATCTCTTTTCCTTAGCAAGATGGTCTCAAACATGAAAGGGAAAAAATAAAATGAAAACATCCTTATTTTCTTCTCGTGAAATGTGGTCCTTGTGACTTGAATTAACCCGACCACTTCTCAAAATCCTCCCATTTTTTTATCCTTTACTCTATACACCATAATTTATCCGAATCCCCTCAATATGGAATATATATGGACCACCTTCTAACTTCTTTTTCAGAATATAATCATGTTCCACCAATTAATACCTTTCACTAATTCTACACTTCATACTAATGTTCATCATTTGGCAAGTTTTTACTCCATCTCATCATGATAATATTGATTCAATCATTTGAGTGATTAGTAAAAGACTTTGAATTGAAGGAAATTCTAGTTTTAGAAGTTTGACCAAAAGTCAACATTTTGAATTAACGAGGTTGGATTTAAGTTTTGATGATTTCATTAGTTTCGGATGGTGATTTATAACTTAGTCAGATGTTGCACGAATTTTGAGGTGCTCGGGAGTGATTTGGACCATTAATTGGTTGAGGTTCTAGTTCATTTGATTTTTTTTATTAAACAAATTTCTCTTTATTAACCAAAGTTGAAACATTACACGGTCGTTTGGTAGAGTGTATTGGAGAAAATAATGCTTGCATTAGCTTGATGTATTATTAGTACCTAATTGTTTGGTACACTTTTCTAACCTATGCATAACTAATGCTTGTATTAGTAATACACTACTATATTGTGTATTGAAGAGTGTATTACTAATACCATCTATTTCTATGCATTAGTAATGCAATGGATTCTAATGCATGCATTAACATTATTAAAGACATAATTGCCCTCAAAAACATTTTTTACATCCTTTCCACTATATTTGTGGAGGGTATTTTTGTAAACAAATATTTTTTCTAAAAAAATTATGTAATGCATTAATATTTTTAGTACACCAAACCAAACATTGCATACAAAAATCTCATCATAACTAATGCAAGCATAACTAATACACTATATTTTGCATTTTTCTTATACACTCTACCAAACGACTACAAGTCTAGGTAGAAGCTAACCATCTACCTCCAACAAGATCTAAAAGACTATATATGTACTATCCACCCATCTAACTCTCTGGATAATATTTTCCACAAGTGGAATTAGGTACTGAGGTATAGTTAGCTTATTGGTAGACAATGGCACCTTCAAGTATCTAAAGGGTAAGCTTCCCGCAGTAAACCCCAAGTTATGAACAATATCCTCTTTATCATTTTGATTCAGACCAGCTATATATAGATGGAACTTTTCTCAGCATTTGCATTGGAGAATCTTTGAAAACAATATCTTGAGGTGACTTTCATGGTCTTTCTTGCTCTTCGAATAAACTAATAAGTCAATCTATAGAGGTCTTAACAATATCACTCATCAAACTTATGAATGTCATGGGGGCATTAGTAAGTTCGAAAAAAATAATCAAGAATTTGTAATTGTCCATAACTAGTTTGAAAGATTGTCTTTAAAATATCACCAGTCCGAATCTTCAGCTAAT